TTTTGTTTCTTAATTTAATGTTTCTGTTTTCTCCATCCAAAAAATTCTTTTCCAAACGATTGGAGAATGTAAAACTACTTTTTTTTTTTTTAATTTATGAGAATTAATATTCAAATGCAACTGAGCTGTTCATCAGTGTTAACGTCGATCAACAAATATTTTGATATAATAAAAGCAGCTCATGTAGTTCACTGAATGAAGTGGTCTCCATTCGAGCCCCGGCCATATGGAGTCACGCTTTGAAGTTTGAAGGGATTGTGATTTGTGAGTTCAGTGTCCGACCTCCAAGTAGGACTTTGTATTACCTATTTTTATATTTCAGTTTTCTACGTGAGCTCTCATTATTCATTAATTGTGATGTCAAAGAGATTCTAAGGCTGCATTTCTTCTTCTTCTTTCCCCCTACCACCACCCACATATGTCTTCATTTCGTTCACTTCATCAAATGAATTATAAAATTTAAAAACCCTATTAAAATACCTTTAAAATATTTCATGACCAAATCATCTCTGGAATAGCCAATTGGATAGTGGCTCAGTTATTGGTAGGTTCTCTTGTTTTGTTAGTTGTCCGATACTTTGGAGCCTAATGCCATCAGGGTTGGGGGTTATGATGAGTATGGGGGATGGGCTTTTTTTTTTTTTTGTCACCGATTGGGCTTCAAGTCATTTCTGTCGCAGTTCAAGTTCATAGAACTAGAATTTTAATAAGAGTAGGAGGTCAAAAACATTTTCAAAGACAAAAGGAGATGGTGAAGTTTTTCTGCAGACATAGACATAGGGGGAGGTCTTTGAAACTTACCTTTAATTACAGATTTGGTAGGTCAAATGAAATCTGCATATTTGTTTCATTGTTTGATTAACCATAAGAGCTGTTTACCAGCTAAGGGGTAGTCCGGTTGGTGTGTTGGATAAATTGTCACAAAAAGAGTAATGAACCTAAAGGGGTGTCGAACAGTTATTAATACAAAAAAAAAAATTCATAAGCGTTATTTCTTTACTTTTTTTTTCTTATTTATTTATTGAATTGTAATGGTGTGCCATATACACTATAAGGAACATCTCAACCTCTCATTCTATGGGAACTGAGTGAGATCATAAAGTGGGACTTGAAGGTGATAAAATGGTATGCATGCCAATACAAGAGGTTGTGTGGAGTCTGAATCTGCTGACCGGCCATTGCTTGCTACACTCATCCAGCCGGACATCAGGAATATCAATGATATAAACTATAAGAGATGTTCCCAATGTGCAGTTTGCTTAACGTGACCAGCAACGTATTGTGGTCAGCATATACGAACTTGGTTGTTTGGTCACAATTCATTCTTTGTATCATATGAAATGGATGGTGCTCCCACCTACTAGCATTTACCTTATTTATTACTGATGGTGTGCGATCTGATAGTTTCTTATTGAATGATAGTTTGGACGTCGAACTAGATAGGTTGTTTGGTCGAACTATAAAGAAAAAGAGAGAAGATTAGAGTACCCGGGCTACTTTATCCAGTGTGGACACTCCGATGCTTAAGTCAACGAACTGGAGTATTTATGAGAGCTAGGAAGTAAGAGAGAGCTTGAGTGCTAAATCACGCGTATCTTATGAGGTTGGGGGTGAGGCCCTTATATAGACGAGTTACTATGAACCTCACAAAATGTGTTTGGGATCTCCGGCCCGTCTGGTTCAGAGGTGGTTTCATGCCTAGAAATGGACTCCGTGCAAATAGGTAATGTAAGCACATCCTTTAATGCCACTAACAAAGAAAAGACCATTGATTTATAAATCATATATAACTTTAAGGTAGAAAATTCTGCTGAAGCCAGCATATTACTTTATCATCTTTGCCCTAAAGAAGTTGTAATAAGTTGCACACGCTCTATAAACATGGGAATCCAACCACACATTGGTTATATCTCCTCATTAATTTAAATTACATGCACATGACATATTTCTAATTTGTGATAGGATTTCCTCCAACCACATGTTTGGTACATCTTCCCATGAATTTAATATACATACACACACAGGAGATATTTTCAATTGTGATTGGATGCTGTGTACATAGTTTTTGCTTACAAGAAATCTGGACTCATTTCACTGCCAATACCTACTTATCAAATAGACACAGGCCAAAAAGTGATTTCACCACACCATACACCTATATAACTCCTTATGTTTACTCTCATTCTAGAAATCTGGCTCATTTTCAGCTGCACCTTTTATAAAATCTTACAACCAACATGCACAATGATGGACAACTGAGTGTCATGCATTTTGACTGATTTAGAATTTTACTATCAATACCTTCCATCTCTTATGGAGATAGGATGCAAGTGCAACCTCAATGTTCTATTTCCATGCAACTTTATTACTCGTTAATGTCATTTCCATGCATCTTACGGATTTATTGCTAGTATTTTATTGACCGTTATTAAACAAAAAAAGAATTTACAGGGAGGACATAGCCCACCTTACCCCATGCCTAATACAACAAAGCACTCAACATCACCTTCTAAAAATAACCCAACCAAAGAAAGATAATATAATCCCATGGAGCCATACATGTATTATCTACTCTAATAGTTTGAGCAAATAATTTGTGGACCAAACTTTCAAATTGGGCCATTGGGGGTTCAAATATAGGTTGAACCCATCGCCCAAACACCCCCATCAACCAACAACTGTAAATGAGGGCACAATGGCCCCTATTATACCAACAAAAACTAAATAGAGTATGTTTTATGTTTTGTCAATAATTAGTCATTTAACAATTAAAGTTATACTTGAGGGCATTTTTGTACATGAAAAAGAAAATTAATAATAAAGTCTGGTGGGAAACTACTCCACAGAACCCCGGCTGGTTCTAACATTATAAACCTTTTGTTCAATCCTTATTCATTCCATAACAGGGCACTTTTGGCAACGCATCTCAATACTGTTATAACGAAGACACCATCATTGAAGCATCATTCTTTTATTTATATATTGTTACATACTAAATGCGTATAATTGAAGAAGCATTTGGAAGTGCAAGAGATAGAGAGGAAATAAATTAATCATTTTTAGTTGTTTGGGATATATGGTTGTTTTATTGACTAAGGGTGGGCTAAGTTCATTCAAAATTAGGGAAAATTCTCAATCAGTACTTTGTATTTTGGCTCGAATTACAGTTTGGTCCTCGAACTTTAAAATGCGACAATTCAGTACTTGGACTTTCAAAATGTGACAATCTATAATTCAAACTTTCAAAATGTGACAATCTAGTACTTTCCATTAACCAGTCTATTGATCAACCATTAAGTGACATTTGAAAAGTCAAAAATGTCCTTCGAATGTCATCTAATTCTCTTTATCAACCATCCAAACATTAACAAAAAACTGACCAGTCCCAAATTCTAGATTCTTTTAAATAGTCACCAACTTTTTTGAATAGAAGAGGCTATGATTTGGGACTGTTTAGTTTTTTGTCAATGTTTGGATGGCATTTTTAGGGCATTTTTGACTTTTCAAATGTCACTTAACAGCTGATTAACGGAAGGTACTGGATTGTCACATTTTGCATGTTCAGGTACTGGATTGTCACATTTTGAATGTTCAGGTACTGAATTGTCATATTTTGAAAGTTTGAGCATTGAATTGTTACATTTTAAAGTTCGGGGACTAAATTATCACTTGAGCCAAAGTACAGGGTACTGATAAGGAATTTTCCCTTCAAATTATAAGATATCTTCGATGCAAGGTCGCATAAGTTGCATTCCTCAAGCAAAGCCAAGGCAAGTATGAACATTATATAGTAAAAGTATGTCACATGCATAGAAGAGTGCCATAGGCATTTTACAAGATCTACAACATGGAAATACCAAAAAGAACTTGGATGAAAAAGCACAAGAAACGATTTAAGCACCCATAATTTAATGATAGATATGGTGCTGAACAAAATGAATAATATTTAGAAGGCTTAGATGATGACAAATGATATAAAAAACATGTGTTAAAGTTGACTAGTCATGCCACAAAACCAAACAAACTCTAGAGACCTTACCAATTGAGCCAATTGGCACCTTGAAGGAAAAGGTGGTAAGTGGCAACATTTTAATGTTTAAATTTAAGAGTAAACCAGATGGTTATACCACATTGAACCATAAGCAAACCAATTGTCAAATTGGTCTTGACACTAAACCGAAATCGAAAAAGTTAGGATCCGTTTGGAAATAGTGCAAATGCTAGTTCATTAATACATATATGCATTTTGGTTTAGTTTTGCTAGTATTTGATAAAATGTATTTGTGTATTAACAATGACAACAAATACATTCCTTACATTCAAAATAAGAGAAAGCTAAAAATTAATCGACATTAAGAGGATATATTCTAGCCTTGAGATTTGTATTTATACCCATCACAACTAAAAATCATTTGGAAGAAGAAGATAAATTCATCAATACAAACATGAACCAACTTTGCATTTACATGGACTAAAATGCAGTCTACACATTTGTATTTGCACTCTTGGAATTGATCATTTTCCTTATTCTTTACCTTTCTTTTTGGTCTACATATGACACATTCAGGAAAATTGTATCATTTTATGATGGTGTTTGGTTTGCTTCAGATATAGAGCATATTGACTTGACTAAGAATCCAATAAAGTAATTCTGTTTAATTTCCAACATATTTTATATTATTATTTGGTGCCAATTAAGCACCCGAAGTTGCTAGGTAGACAAAAAAAAAGGTAAAAGCCTTGTTTTATAACAAAACAAATGTAAGAAAAAAGTCTCTTGAAAAACATATGATAAATGTTATAAAATGAAGTATTATTCCTCAAAAACTATTCAGATAACCCGAGGGATTTTGAGGGTTGAGGGAGGGAGCAAAATGCATACATGGCGCTGGGGCTGACATGGAGAAACTACTCCGGTGTGAAGTTGGTCCCGAATACCCACGTGGCAAATGTTGCTAACCATTAAGATAAGATGGCTCTAATAATCATGATTTCTAACATAACTAACAAAAATTTCCACATCACTCCCCTGACCCTGAGATCACTCACCCTCACATTAGTACTACCATTACTGTCATTCGCTTCCATTTCCCACTCTCTTCTTCCACTCCTGACTCCATCCCACTTTTTCTTTCTCTCTCCTACATTTCCTCGCTGAAATTCCGAGAAATGAACGACGAAATCGAGCCATCCACCTCGTCGTCGTCGTCGTCGTCTTCGTCAAAAGAACCAGTCTTTCTTCGAGCAAGAAGAGAGCCATTCGAGTACGGACTCCTCCCCATATCGAAGCTCATCTTCTCTGATGGAACAGCAACCCTAGGTCCCCTCAAAGAGAAGCTCATCCAACGAGCCTCCGCTTCTTCGCCCCCCTCGTCTCCCCTTCGAGTCGACGCTGATGGCATTTCCGAAGTCCTTCAGATCTCGATCGAGAACGCTCGTCTTGTCCTCGACACCCTCGCAGCCGTCCTCCACTCGGACTCTGATCCTCTCGTCTCTGCGAGCCCTCAGGAGCTCGATTCGGTTGGGGCCGATGTTAATTATCTGATTTTGTTTCTTTATATCCAATCCTACAAGAGGCTTCTCCCTAGGACGCATAAGGACTCAGTTGCTGTTGCCGATGTCTGGCCTTCGACTTCTGCTTTCGATGGATACCTATCGGCTCTATCCCCTTTACAGGTACAGCTAATTTGGTTTTCCTTTTGTTGAACTGTGGCTAAAGGGTTGGTTTTTTAAGGATCGTGCGATTTGATTTTTATGGATTGCGAGTTTGTATTTCAATAGATTCTAAGAATTTTTGTTGTTAACATTCCCAGAACGATAATTCAGTTCCTTTTTTTTTTTTTCTAGTGTCTTTCCTCACTGGTGGAGACGCATTCTTAATATGCGTTTTCTGATTTTTCCCTTCTTGGATGCTGTATAAACGGTTTTAGCAATCGCGGGTTTGTGCTACATTTAAAGATTGTTTGATGATTATGGCACGAAATCAGAAGATATATTTTAGAAGCTTGGAGGAATTTGTGCTTAGGGTCTATTACTCTATTTAGTAATATTCGCATCAACAACTTCAAATGACTTTTTTCTTCTCCTCCTGTTAGGCTGTTTTTCCTGAACGCGTTTAGTTATCCTACGTATCGTTTATATCTTATGATGCTTAACGTGTTCACTAGATTGTTACTTTGTCCATATGGTCTTATTTGGAACTGGGTGTGTATTAAGCCTCTGAATGAGCTCATTTCATGTTTATGGCTTAGATTTAGGTCATTAAATTCTCATTTTTCAAGCTTACCATGAGTTTTTGCAATGCTCAATTTATGTTTATGTGTTAATATTGGGTCACCTCATGCTTATTGTCTCAAGCTTTCCATAAACTTGGTTTTCCATTAATTACAGCTTGTTCGTAGCAACAGCCGTCGGTTTATGCCATCACAAGCTGATGAAGAGGCCCATCAGTTATCCTATTTACAGAAACACATGGCAAACATTCTTGCACTGCTGGCAGAGTCTGTGGAAGGCGATGAAGAGGAATCTCTGGTTGGTGAAATGACTATTTACTTTTTTTTCTCTCTCTTTTTTTATACAGTGTCTATCCATATCATATCATAGCATAGCATTGCATTGCATTGCAAAAAAAAATTTAGATCATTGCAAATAGTCTATCCATATTAGACTATTAAAGGATTTTTTTATACAGTGTCTATCCATATCATAGCATTGCAAATATTTTAGATCATTACCAAATTGTTTTTGGGACAATATTTTGTCATATTCTTACTTATCAATTTTTTTTTTTTTTTTTTTTTTTTTTTTTCCGGTCAACAACATAGTTTCCAAGCAAAGAAAGGGGGAAAATAACACAAATAGAACGCTGTGTAGGACTAGAGGGTATACAGGACAAGCTAGTATATTGATATGAACTCTAGGAGATCATTAGTGAACCTTGTTTTGGTGTACCTTACAAGGTCCATGTGTCTGCATGGGCCTTTATCCATTGAGTGCATCTATAAATGAATCTCCCTCAACCTTCTGAAACCATGAAAATCAATTTAGGTGTTAACAAGGCATGCATCAAGTTTATTTATTTATTTTTTAAAGCAGCATGCATTAAATTTATTGTAGACATGGTTGTCAGAATGTTATGATTTACCATATTCACAATTTGTGAATCTAAAGAGCTCGAATTTGAATTTTGTGATTGAATCCTTTACTAAACAAACTTACAATTATTGTTCAACCCTTCTACTCAATTTATTAATATTACAATTTATCTAATTCTCATGATTGAAATTAGTTTGAGTGGATAAGATTGTTTAGCCCCCTTGCTTTGTAATTCTTCTTAATTTTAATGAATACATTTCACAGTTATTGATAAAAAAAAAGTTTGAGTGGAATCCAGTTTACTTTTTTTTTGTAGTTTTTTCAAGGGGCTTTTATTTTAAATTTAAACCCTTCATGGATTAAGGATTCTTTTGGTTATGTAAAACTCATTTAAAGACCTTTTGGACTTTATTTTCCATCATATGTTGGTTAAGACATTATGTGTGGGTTAAGTGACTTCGAAGTCAAAGATATCATCTTATGCATATAGGGTAAAACCAAGGTTCAAAGTATCGACACGTATCGTGCCGATGGCTTCCCGATACGCCCCTCCAGGGGTTGTATCGGGTCAGACCATGTTTCAGAGGGTAGCCGGGACTTAAACCGACCCATCTGAACGGGTTTTGAAAAAAAAAAATAAAACATAAAAAAGCACCGATACGGCGTATCGGCCTGTGTCAATACTTTGAACCTTGGGTAAAACTAGCATATTTTGTTTTGTTGGTTACTAGTTATAAAGGTTATATGCATTGAGAATGAAGTTGAATCAATTTTTCTATGTATTGGGGGGTTTTTTTAGTATATATTTTAAAATTTTTGACAAAAATAGGAATGACTATGATTTGCAAATTCATGATTTTATTCAATTCAACTTTCTGTATGGCTTATGATATGCTTAGTATTTTCAGAACATTTCATGGATAGAAACATTGAATGGAGAGACTGAATAAGGTTTAGAATCCTTGGTCAAGTTTGGAAATGAGTTCTAAGTTTTCCAACAAAAGTATAACCCTTTATACATTAAAAATTCTAGTTCTTTTAGGGGGTTACAGTTGTAGGTTTCCTCTGCATACATGCTTAGTAATGGGAGGTTCAAACATAATTTATACTCTCTGAAAGTGCTCAGCTTAGGTATCTTTACCAAGTCCCGCTGAAATAATTTCTGCTTCTTTTCTTTTCTATTGTATTTAGTCCATTTAATATCCTTATTTCACTACCTTTGCATTACTTATCTTGACAAGTATGGTAACAAGTACATTGAGATGAAGAAAAAGTCGAAGTAACCAGTCTTTTTCAGAAGCTTTTAAAAGTAAGGTTGGCATACAAATGGGGACAGTGTGGCTAATATGTAATATGTATAATAAATTTATGCAACATAAGATCATCAAACAGGAATGTGCTCTATCATTCCTGGGAAATGGATATGGGCTCCCAAGATTCCTTCCAAGATTTGCTCTTTCATGTGGATAACTTGGACATGGTACTCACCTTGGGTCATTGTTCTCTAGAGGTATGAACATCCAAAGCTCTCTTGTCCTTGGAGGAAAGATTGAGGACTGTTACATTGTTACCCAAACATAGCAACGACACAGCGAGGAAAGGCATGGCCTACAAAATTCACACTTAAAATTTGAGTATAAGAGACAATATGGCATCCTTGTACAGCTATCTGGGCATCATAGATTGAAGAATCAGACACCAGCTTGTTGATAGACTAATTTTTCCATTCAAGTCTTGCAGCATATTATCAAATTCTTTGGGGGACAGTGGCTGAAGTATGTGTCTTTCCTCATTAACGCTAGGCTGACAAGGGCTTTAACAAGAGGCCACATTGCCTGGAAGCTGAAGGTGGTGAGATCATCTTGTTGACCAAGGATCTGACCTTGAGTTGGTACAAATGGGTGCTTAAATGGGAGAAAACAACTATTTTGTTTTTAAGTCTATTTATCTGTTGTCTTGTTTGTTATTGAGAGGTGCATCTTAATATCTTCATGAGCTTGCTCCTAAATTGATAATGAACTCTTTATGTAGGTATTGACCTTAGAAAGGTTTGAACATCTTGGGTTCCTCATTCAGTTTGGTGAAAAGGGGTCTGAAGGAATTCCACTGAGCCAGGCCACACCTTTTTTTGCAAATTCTGATCCAGACATGCCTGCTGTCCCTGTGCCAGCAGCACAAGTTCATGATTGGATTCTACAAAATATAGCTACTGCTTTAGAGCATAGCTCAGAGAGAGTTTCTATGAAAGAAAATGGGCTACCCAATAGCTCTGATCAGGATGTTGCTATGGCTGATGCCTGCGCCAGTTCCTTCAAGAGTTCTACCTGTACCAGGAATCTGAGTTTTGTAGAGGGAGTTTCAAAAACTTCAATCATAAAGCAAGCGTCTGATCTGAAGGGTTCTTCTGTAAAGGTAAGAGATCACATGTTTACTGTATTTATTTTATTTTCCTTTTCATATTTCTTTCAGAAGTTTATTTTCATTGGAGTAGATGTTAGTTTGGCTAGATGGTTTCTTGGCTGTCAATAACAAAGGAGTATTAATATCTCAGTTCCGCTTTTCAGTATTAGTGATATTCTATATTCAAGAGTGTGTGTGTGTGTGTGTGTCTCATTGTATAGATGGTTTATGTCTCTACAGCCACTCACTGTATAGATGGTTTTTGTTTGTGTCTCATTGTAAAGATTTGGTCTTTAGTTTGCAAAAACATGTTTTTTTTCTGGAATGTCAATGATGTTTGTTAATTTCAATTCATATTTGGGATTTGTGGTTTCAATTTTTAGGTTTTACATTTCTTAATTTGATACATTGAGCATCCACTGTATATGCACTTTATTTTCAATGGCTTATGCAGGACCCTGAACCTTTGACCTTTGTGTTATAAACATAATGGTGTAAAACAAGCCATTTTCCAATGGATCTTTTAGCATTAGGTTTAAGTATGTATTTCTTGAGATGGCACCGTGCTTCAGCATGGCCAGTTAAATGTCATGGCAAAAGTAGGTACTATCACCATAGTGGCGTCTTTGCCATTACTTAACTTGATAATAGAGAAAGGACTCTGAGTTTACATAGAATGGTGATCTTCTTTCAAAATTATCACATTTCCAGTAACTCATAAGCTTGTAAAGAGATGCCACATAACCCATGACAAACCAACTAAAGAGACCATGGAAACACATACAGGATTGCCCTAGCGTATGCCCCAATCTTCAAGACATAGCAATGGGTGCAACGAAGCATCTGCATATAAGAGGCTGCTAGTTGGATTCCATTATCTTATCCCTTGTTTGATACTGCTTGTATATTTTTGGAATCTGTTGGAACTGGTTCTGGCTTCTATGATGCTGTCTGAATGAAATAATGGTGTGTCATCTCTTAATGATTTAAACACTAAAAGCTCTATTTTTTGATCAATAACAGAATCATTTCATTAGAAATTAAGAGAAAGTGCAAGGGCTGGGGGAGATAAACTCACTTAACTCTACTCATTAAAAAAAAAACCTCTCTTAACTCCCCTCAGAAAATAAAAAGAATATTACAGTACAGCCCAAAAAAACTGATCTCTTCCCACCCCTTGTTTGGCTAATGTATCTGCAAATGAATTAGCAGTTTAGGACTCCTGTTAACCCACTGCAGTCTTCCATACCCTGAGTCAGCCACTTGAAGAGTCTTTGTTCATTAAGATAAGGTCATATTACCCTTATCCTCCTTCCCTAACTAACCTGTTATCACCACTTTTGAGTCTCCTTCGATGATCAAACTGTTAATACTTAATTCCTTAGCCCTTTTTACGCCCTCCACCACTGCCATAACCTCAGCCCAGAGTGAGTCCCCAATTCTAATCGAGCATGAATACATAGCAATAACTACTCCTTCCTTTGTCCTGAAAACTCCACCAATCCCTGAAGGCCCAGGGTTACCTAACTGCTGGCATCAAAATTCAACTTAATATGTAACCTGGACATGGTGGAGAAGGAAGAGAGAGATTTCTACTTGGGGCCAAATCTGCCACTTCTAACTATTCAACAGAACCGCTATAGTAATATCATCAAATATGTCCATTGATTTTATCCAATGGACAACCCTAGCAATAATCACCTCAATAATTACCCTTCTATTTCTCTCCTCTACAAAAATTCTTTGGTTTCTTTCATCCTAGACTGTTCAACAAACTGCAGCTCTTGTGCATAACCACAGAATCCTTCCCCTCTTTTTTTCCAGCTACTAGCGGAAGAGTCAAAGAGGCTTTGCACGTTTGGTGTGTGTGTGTGTGTGGGGGGGGGGGGTCCACTTGCGACCAAACAGAGAAAAAAACTAATCCCAAATAGAAGAAACAAAGGGGTAGAAGATTAGTAAGTGATGACAGGACTCACCATTGGCCTTGCAGAGAATGCGCCAGCTAGGGGATAAGCACTGAAAAAAGGCCTTTTTCTTTGAAGAAGATCGCAAGTGTTAATTCTTTCTGAGAACATTTCCTAGCAAAGAGCCCCAACCCGTGGTGGGACTGGTTTACCCCAAACTTCCTTAACAGGAAAAGGTTGCCCAAGGCTATTGGAAGGTTGAATTAAGGCTTTGGAAAAAGAGGCACAAGAGAAGTATCTAGAAGGGGAGAGGGTCCAAATTCGAGAGTCTAATTTAGAAGGATCCAATAAAACTTTTTGAAGAATTTGAAGCAAAGCCAAGACATTGTCCAACTCAGAATCTCTAAGGCCCCGTCTAAACCCCAAATCCCATTCTACCTCTAGATCTAAGCTCGAAGAAGACAAAAAAGGAAATTGTTCTCTTAAAGGTGAATTCCCCACCCAGACATGTTCCCAAAACTTAGCCAGGTTTCCAGAACACAGAGTATACCGGATTAAAAGGCAAGAATGATGGCTTGAATGGACTTCCAAGGCGCCGCATTGGTCGCATGAGATGATACTCCTGCATCCTGGCCCTCAGCTGCCAGCCCATGAATGCTTAATATCACCTTTGCCCATAGTTTATCCCTATCCAACGACAATCTCCATAGCCAGAACACAGAGTATACCTGATAAAAAGGCAAGAATGATGGCTTGAATGGACTTCCAAGGTGCTGCATTGGTCGCATGAAATGATACTCCCACATCCCGACCCTCAACCGCCAGCCCATGAATGCTTAATATCACCTTTGCCCATAGTTTATCCCTATCCAATGGCAATCTCGATAGCCATTTCCCTAATAAAGCTAAATTCCTGAGCCGGGACAAGAAAAGAAGGATCACTTGGTTAATTGGGAAATTGTGTGCAGAAGTAAAGAAGAGGGGGGCTTGGGAATTGGGAGGATAATTAGAAAGAATCAAGCTCTGTTAGGGAAATGGTTGTGGAGATGGCCTTTGGAAAGAGAGATTGTGGCATGAGGTGGTGGGAAGCATTCATGGGAGGTCAGAGAATGGATGGGATGCT